GGGCACATGCAGGAGGCAACTAATAGATGTGTTTCTCTCACATCGATATTTCTCTCTGTCTTTTCCTCTCTCTTCCACTCTCTCTAAAAGATCACTGGAGCCCTGACTGGTTTGGCTCAGTGGATATGGCATTGGCCTTCGGACTGAGGGGTCCTGGGTTCGATTCCGGTCAAGAGCATGTGCCTTGGTTGCGAGCACATCCCCAGTGGGGGGTGTGCAGGAGGCAGCTGATCGATGTTTCTCTCTCATTGATGTTTCTAACTCTCTATCCCTCTCCCTTCCTCTCTGTGAAAAATCAATAAAATATATTTTAAAAAATAAATAAAAGATCACTGGAAAAATATCCTCAGGTGAGGATTAACAAACACACACACAAAAACATACCTTTTTCCACGAATTCTGTAATTTTTGCTTGTAATCCTAGAGTCTTAAAGGCTCCTGTGCCAGCGAGTAGTTCACCAGGTGAACTCCAAGGCCCCTCTGACTATCGCCAAGTGGACTTTGTCAGGTCATGGATCTTCAAACTATCCCTTAGAGATGTTGTCTGTTCTAAGATGTGAACCCCATGAATAATCAGATAAAAGGGATTAACTATCTCAGAGTCACTGAAAGGTCAGAAATTGAATGGAGTAGCCACGTTGCTTAGCAAAGTGGATCTTGATTTCTGTTGTGCATTAAGCCTTCAGGTTGCTTGTTGGAATGTAGATTCTTGAACCCGGTCCTCTATTCTGATTCACTTGGAGGATTAGTTATGGCAAAAGGCTAAGTTACTGTATCAAGAGACCCAATAATAATGTGGTTTAGAGAACGAAGAAGGTATTTCTCCCACACACATTACAATCCACGGTGAGTGTTCCTTATTTTTGGATACTATTTTGCTTCATGAGATGTGGCAGATTAAGGATGGCCACACATTATTTGGCACTCCTCTCATTGAGAAATGAGGTTGATGTCCCCTCTTCTAACATCTGGGCTGGTTCTGTGACTACTTTGGGCAACAGGCTGTTTTGATTTTTTTTCTATCAGAAGACTCACTCTTGGAACTCTGCTGCCATGCTGTATGGAAGCCCAACAGCCTATGAAGAGGCACATATGGAGAACAGCAAAGGTTCCTGGCTGTCCGCTGAACTCTCAGCTGAGATCCAGAAATGACTCTCCAACCGTGGGCATGACTCATTATGGAATCAGATCCTCTAGTCTCAGTTGAGCCTTCCCAAGTGGGGGAAGCCATTCCCATCAATCCCTGCCCAAGTTGTAGATTCACGTTGCCAATTAGAATCACATTCCCAGGAAATGACTGTTGTTTAAAGTCACTAAGACCTAGGGTGTTTTGTGTAGCTGTGGATGACCAAACCACATAGGCATTCAGAAACCCAGGTTTCTTCCATAAGAGGCTCCTCCACCTTTCATGAACTTGTCATCATCTGCTCAGTCAAGGTTGATTGAATTTCTACCACGTCCAGGTTCCAGGCTGTGGGAGAGGATGGAGAAGATGCATCTGTTTCTCACATTGGCTTGGAGCTGGTACCCATTACTTCTGCTCACATTCCATGGGCGAGAACTTGTCACATGGCCACATCTAATTGCAAAAGGACAGGGAAATACAGTCTCTAGCTATGCAGCCATATTCTCAGCCACTAAAAAGAAAGGGGAGAAGGGTTCTGGTGGAAGCTAACAGTCTGGACGGGGGCACAGAGATCTGCTTTTTTGCAAGCCCTCCAGGTGATTCTGACGTAAATGGCACAGCTCTAGCATGGAAGAGGATGACTTTTGAACTCAGTGGGATCTGAGTTTAAAACTAAATTCGACCATTTGAGTTTCAGTGTCCTTGTGTATATAAAAATGCATGAAAAGTGTGAGCACAGAGCAAGCACACAGCAAGATCTAAACTGTGGAAGGAAGGAAAGGAGGGTGGGAGGGAGGGAGGAAAGAAGGAGGGGGAAAAGGAAGAAAGGAAGGTTGGTTTTATTGTTACCTAAATCAAGTATTTCATTCTATCTTTTATTTTTATTAAATTTATTTTTATTGATTTCAGAGAGGATGGGTAAGGGAGAGAGATAGAAACATCAATGATGAAAAAAATTATTTAAAAAAAGAAAAAAAAAGGGTAAGGGAGAGAGATAGAAACATCAATGATGAAAAAATTATTTAAAAAAAGAAAAAAAAGGAAAAAAAACCATCAATGATGAGAGAGAATCATTGATTGGCTTCTTCCTAGACACCCCACACTGGAGATCGAGCCTGCAACCTGGACATGTGCCCCAACCAGGATTCGAACCATGACCTCTTGGTTCATAGGTCAACACCTAACCACTGAGCCAAGCTGTCCAGGCAATCTTTTAAAACATCAATGCACTCAGTCATTATACTTAAAATGTCCCTTTTACCCTCACATCCCTAGCCTTAGTCCCATTTTACAGACAAACTGAGACTCAGAGAAGTTAAGTAAGCAGACCAAAAACTCTCAATTGTTAAGTGCTGGTGTCAAAATTGGAGCCAATATTTATTTCTCTTGGTGTTTGATTACAAATGCTATCTTTTAGGAAAAAGTGAAGAGGAGCTGTTCATGAGTTTGGGGCAAGGAAGCAACATTTCAGAATGCTGCGTAGAAAGATAAATCTGAAAGTGTTGCTATGAGATATGTGGAAACTAGAGGCAGGAGGACCAGTTTAGCAATGAAGTGAAGAGGTTCTGAATTAGGCTGAAGTGAAGGCTTAGTACATCCCTGCCTCCCCATCTGCAGTTACTTATCTCTGAGGAGGCAATCCCAGGCATAGTCGTTCCCTCCTTCACTTGAGTATGCCTCTGCAAACCTGACTAGCCAGCTCTTCCACTCGTTTGGATATGGCTTGCAATGTTTAGTTAACATTGGTTCAGAATCTGATAGGTTCTTTTTGTGTGCCTCAGTTTACCCATTTGGAAAATTGGAATTACAATGCCAGCTATAGCCATTTCATAGATATTCTATGAGGAAATGCATGGGAATGTATTTTTTAAAAGTTGAAGTCATCAACTTGATGTTGAGTTTTCCTGAAAATGAAACAAAACAAGACAGCAGGAAGCACTCATTTAAACTTCAATTTCATGATTGATTCTGTGTGTCTTAATTTTGTAAATTAAAATTTTAGATATTAAAGGATGAGGTAGTGGAGAGAAATCGGAAGATAAATTTTCTCATGTTGTGGTTTCCATGGTGACCAGCTCTCAGGCCTCAACCGCTGGCTGAAATACAGCTAAATAAGAAAATGATGGTGAAATACTTTGCACAGTGCCTGGCACATAGGAAACAACCACTGTCAATGACATCAGAGTCTCTGCCTCTGTAAAAGCAACATACACATAGATGCTTCTCATGAAGAGCATCATGGGAAATTCCCTTCTCCTTTGGAATATTTAAGCCTGAACATTCTGGGATTTACAAAGGTTCTAACGCAGTGAAACTAAGGGATGGGACTTAGATAAGGAGTTTGATTTGTGGGGCATCTTCATCCCAGCTCCTTCATGTCTTGTTTAAGACATCTTTGCATGCCTCCAGCTCAAGATACTCTCCTATGTTGTCTTTCAGACACTTTATCATATCAGTCCACCTGGAATTGATTTTTATGTGTAATATGAAGTGGAGACCAGGAGTCAGAGTTTTCCTATGGATGGTCAACTGACCTGCACCATTTATTGAAAAAGTCACTGTTTCTCCCTTGCTCTCCAGTGGCCCCTTTGTTATAAATCAAGTGTCTTTGTATGTGTGATTTTGTTTCTGTGCTCTCTCTGCTGTTCCACTGGTCTTTTTATCTTTCTTTGTATCAAAGCATGCTCATTAATTACTCTGGCCTTGTAATAACTCCTGATATCCAGTAGTGAAATTCATCTGACTTTGTTCTTCTTTGTGATAATCGTGGCTCCTTAATTTCTAACACATACTTTAGAATTCTTTTGTAAATGCCACCCCCCCCCGCAAAAAAAACCCCCAAAAAACAAAAAACAACAAAAACCCAACTTGATGGGATTTTGATTGGGATTATACCTCTTTAGATCAGTTCTAGGAGAAATGGCATCTTTATAATATTGATTCCTTTTTTTCTCACAACAACCCTGTGAGGTAGGTTCCGTTGTTGTCCCCATTGACAGATGCATCTCCCCTGTGTCGCTGGCGGGGGGATGGGAACTAATCTACTGACGTACCAAGGAGGAGAGGTGAAGCTGGTCCCTCCCACCTGGATGTTTATCACATCTTTGATATGGTTTAGAAATATTGGCTTACGGTCATAATATAAAGCAAAGTAAGTGCATTCAGTTTTACTCTGGTGCTGTTTAAAATTCGGTATGAGATAAGCACTCCTCTACTCCTTGCACTGGGCCAAACCACTCCCACTGCCTTGGCAGGCCTGGGACCTAATGCTGCCACTTTTACTCGCCTCCGCAGACTGTCAGTTTGGAGGTGAGCAGTGTCGGTAAGCAGGTATGGGTGGAATCCAACTTTGAATGAGCAGGTGGCAGACACACCCAGCTTTTTAGGGGCCACAGTGGCAGTGGGGTGGTGCTCTAAGTCCAGTCACTAATATTAATGGAAGTGTCCATAATGACTAGTCAGAGCCGTTGTCTTTGCTGAGGTGGTGACTTGGATTTCATTCCCTGCAATCTAATTCCTGATCATGATTTCTTGACCACCCCCACTGGAGATGCCAGAAACTTCTTGACATCATTAAGATTTCTTTCTGATAAACTTGGTAGAAGTACGTTACTTGCAACTCAGGATCCCGATGAGTAGAGTTATCACTGTCATTATGATTAGTCGTGCCTACTCTACCCAGTTTATACAATGCCGACTCTCTGTACTGCACACTAACCCAGACTTCCAGAATACCAAATCTTGCTCAGCCCACACACGCCAGGCACCTGCTTGTCAGGAGCCAAGGACTGGCAAATACCAATTAGGACTTGTGTTGTCCAGCTGGAGCGTAATGAAAGGTGTCTCTGTTTGTAGTGGCCCCACATTAGGAATGACTCTACGTGTTCAGCGCCCTCCAGCTCCCCGCTGTTCGGCAAGAGTTAAATGACATCATGTGGAACGAGCCAACATGCCACTGGCTAAAGGATCAATGAATCATGCTGTGGACGTGGCCAACAGTGAGGCCTTCCCTGGAAAAGCTTTCTCGTCCAAGGTACCATTAGCCACGCCGCTATTTGCAATCATAATAAAAATAAAAAGTAATAGGAAACCCACGTAGAGGCAATTCTACTGCCTACTGGATTTTTAATTTTCTTGAGGATGCCAGAGGCAATCTCGAGCCCATTATGTCTAAATGAGGCACATTAGAAAAGACTTGCAAAGTCCAAACTGCTTTTGCAGCCATTAATTAGCCAGACTTCTAAATAGGCCCACAAGATTAAGCTTGGGTATGGTCTCTGGTCTCTCGAATGGGGTTGTAGTATGCAGAGATGTCAGAACCCATCAGTTCAGTCATCATTTCCTACCCTCTCTCTCTCTCATCTCTGTTCTAATCAGATGTTCCCTTGTTTGGGATGTGGGGAGGGAGGATACTACATAGCCAGGCACCTGATGAGAGTGCTCTGAATTTCCCTGCAAGGTCATGGAACAACTTGAGCACAGTATCTTGTGTACAGGAGGTGTATCATCCAGCATCCTTGGTGGCAAGGGACGGAAACCTAACTTTGGCTTTCTTTAACAAAATGGAGTACATAGAATGAATGATGAGCTGGAGGACCAATGAGCCTCAGGAAGTACAGTGAATGTCCAGCAGCAGAAATCGTCTGGGTCACACTTCAATCATCTCTACAGCTTTCAGTCACTCACTTAAGATTCTAAGCCCCTGGAGAAAGCATGGCACTAGAGGGACCCGAGTTATTCTCTTTCTCTTCTATGGCTGCTATTGTGACGATGAGCACTCATCCCGAACCATTCTCAATGGGAGAGCTCCCAGAGCGGAAATCAGCATGCCAACAGGAAGAGGAGTGGTAGCCTGGACATCCCAAAGTGACAGATGTCTCTGGGCTCGTGTGGTCCATAAATGTTACAGGTTGAACTGTAACATCTCAACCTTCCTACTCTGGGCAGAGTGAGGTGTCTCCCCAAAAAGGAAGAAATAAGAAAATGTGATTTCCCCCCACTCTGATATGGGCCAGAGAGAGCTTATGGTGTACAAGGAAGTATGCTAAACATTGCCCATACATTATCCTCACAACCCTTGAGGTGTAGGAACTCAAGATCCCCATTTTACAGATGAGGAAAAGGAGGCTCACTACAGGGAAGTCACTTTCCCAAGGACACAGCTGGAGCACAGATTCAAACCTAGATCTGTCAGACTCCAAAATCCATGCTTTTAATCATTCCAGGCATTTCCTCCTCCCATTTCTGGTTTGGGGCAGGGCACATCTTAAAAGACAAAAAGGCCCTCAAAACTACAGACTTGATTGTAAGCACATGACTTTTGGAGCTAGATGGCCCAAGTTTAAATACCCTGTGTACTTGTGTGGTGCTGGGCAGGTTATCTAACATTTCGGTGCCTCAGTTGCTCTGTGAGCATAGAGACCTCCCCTGCCCACCAAGGACTGTTGTAAGAATTAAATGGTTCAGTGTGTGTGAGGCACAGAGGAGGGCTTCTGGAACATCTCAACTTTTGGATAGTTGTGTGCTGATAATATTATCTCTCCTGCTTAGTCCTTGGTCCCTTTGCTGCTGCAGAGTATTCCACTGTAACCATTCCCCGAAGATGGATATTACATCATTTCCCACCCTTTGGCTATTACAAGCAGCTCAGTCTTGAATATCTTTGTGTATCCCTCCCTGTGTGCAGTGTCTATATCTGCATTGTTCTCTAGGCTAGGTGCCAGGAAGAGAAATGTCCGTATCCTAGGGCAGCGGTTGCCAACCTTTTGGACCTCAAGGACCATCAGTCCATTTTTTAGTTCTAGTGAGTGTTAGGGTTGCTGAAGGAGGAAGGAACACACAAGGCCAAAAGGGGTAAAGAATTATGAATTTACAAGAGGCCTGGCGCACAAATTTGTGCACAGGTAGGGGCCAGCCGGGGGGGAGGGGATGCAGGCAGTTGGCGGGCTGGCCCCACCACTGATTGGGGTTGGGGGGACTAATCGGGGGTGGGGCCGGCTGGGAGGAGGGGCCAAGGGCAGTTGGCCAACCCCACCCCCTGGTCAAACTCCCAGTTGAACTGCCAGTCAAACTAGGGGACAATTTGCATATTAGCCTTTTATTATATCGGATTAGGTCATCTGGAAAACCTGATGGGCTGAGCCCCAACATGGCGCCAGCACCTAGGGACAGGGAGTCAGAGATTTTAAAGGACTCTAGATGGGCTTTTTCTGGGTGGAGAATTCTCTGGGCAGGTCTTGAGGGGAAAGGTAATGGTCTTAGCAAGTGGAATGTGGTCTTAGCAAGTGAAATGTGGTCTACAATAAGCAAAAGGGAATGTCCATTGTGAAGTGGTCTAAAGGTCAGTGCCCCTGGAGGGAGGGGGGTGGTATCCATTCAGTTATTTGATCAGGCCTAACAGTGAGTACCACCAAATGGCCCCCAAAGGTACTGAACCAAGGTGCACCCCATCATTAGAGTGGGATGATCTCGTTCCCACCTGGTTAATCTGCCTTTTGGAGAAGCCCAGCCTCTCCTCATTAAGGCACACCTATTTTTGGAGCTCAGCTGACATCCCTAGCTGCCCCCGCTTTGTGATTCCGGCTTTGTGTCCTCAGCAGTACCTTGCTATTGTTTCTCCTGTCTGGCTCCTATTTAATGTGGCCAAGTGCTTTTGGAATCCTTGGAAATAATGGCAGACAACATGTGGATGGAATGTGGATGCGGAGGTGCTGAATGTAGCTTTTGTAAGGAGCTTTTGGTGTGATTTCTGCCTGAAATGGAGCACTTTTTTGCACTCAGCCTAAATTGCCTCCATTGCACCTGGCGTGCTGGTGGACACACAGACAGGCTGAACATTTCTCAGGAAGAGCTTAGGCTGCTTTCTGTGGCTTTGGAAACAGGGCAGCCGCTCAGCAGGTGGGGAAGGGTTTCAACCCAGCATTGTGCTTCCAACAGCACTTTCCTTTCCAACCCTGCAGATTTCAGTCCATGGGCCTTTTCTAGTGACCTCAGAGGGAGTAATAGCTCGAGATGGAGAACAGGGAAATTTAGTCATTGAGGGCCTAAATTGACGGTCGTAAAACCTCCTTTATTTATTTATCATTATTATTATTTTTGGAGGTATATTCGCAAAACAGAGCTTGAAAGATTATCTAAAAATCCAAATGAACGCCTTAGCAGCTCCCTGGAGGAGAAGATGGATTTAAAGTTACCTTGTATTTTCCCATTTCTTCAGAAAGTTTGTGCCCACCCCATCATGATTGTTGTATTTGGTTCACTATCCCCTGGGGTATAGATTTTGCTGTATTTGCTTTCTCTGAGGAAAAAAGGGAAGGTTTTGAAATAAATGTCTGTAATGGTGCTTTGCATTCAGATGCTAATGAGATGGCCAGGCAGAGTGTGTTGGACACTAAATGTTTACATTAAAATGGAAATATGTAATCGATTTTTCAAATAGGCCTCCTATTCACTTTTAAAATAACACTTCGTGGGACTAAAACAAAATGGAAAAAATCACCGTCTTTAAGTAATATTGGCTGAGGCAGCAACTTCTGGCGAGCTCCAGCCCAAACTAAGTAGAGAGACAATCGTTTCCAAGAATGCATCGGTATACCATCGTCTTTGTTATAATAGAAAAAGAGAGTTTCTTTATGAGCTGGGCATGGGGTTGGTATCATTTCAGTAAAATGATGCCTTCTCTTCAGGAGACAAGTAAAGAAGTTGAACTTTCAACATGAATCAAGTTGAAGCTGTCTGACTCTATTCATTTGACTGCCGGTAGACGGTTTGAGAAAAAGTGGGTTAAACACAACTGTTTCAGAGTCAGAGATGAGAATTGGAATCCAAGATCCCGTTACCAGCTGTGCAGCATAGGGTCTTTTTGGGCCTCTGTTTCCACATCTGAAAAAATGAAAAAAAAAAAAAGGGCTGAAAAAAGGACTGGGTTATCAGTAGAAGTATGGAAGAAAACTCACTTTAGGTAATAATTCAAAATATCTTCCTATTATATGGAGAGAACACACTGTAAATAATAAGATTAACTCATTTATTGAGTGCATGCTGTGTGCCAGGCACGAAGAACTTTAATTACGTTAACAATGTAATTCTCCTAATAACTTTATTAGGTAGGTACTATTAAGTAGGTGCTAATATTATGCTGGTTTTAAGGATATTGGCTAATTTACTCAACAAGATGTTTATTAAATGAGTTTGAATTTCTCAGTAAAATAGGATTAGTTGGCTTATTCCTTGAAATATTTATTGAGTATCTACTATGTCCTAATCAATGTGTTACTAGTAAATTCTGGAGCTGTGTTGGTAAGCAAAATTAGCCACAGTCCTTGCTCTCATGGAAATTAGAGTTCAGACAGGGAGGCAGACCATAATAAAATAATCTCAAAAATGGGTGAATTGTAACAAAATGAACCAACTGTGAAGGACGAGGATCTGCTCCTGGGAGAACATCTAATAAGACTTGGAGGAGTGACCTGCCCTGAGATCTAAGGAGGTGCTGGAATTAAACGAGGAGGAGGGAATGGGGGTGCGGGCGTTCTAGGCAGAGGGAGCATCCCTTGCAAAGGTCTGTAGTGGGAGGATCATGGCATGTGAGTGAGCCCCCCCTTTACCCATTTCCATCTCTGACTCTGGTCCCAGAAAGTGATAAGGATCAGGGCCTTTTCTCAGCAGTTGGCCAACTGTTGAAGTAAGAGGACAACTGTGCTTTGTGGGGAAGAGGAAAGCTGTGGTATAGCAGGTGGAGTCATGACTATAACCCTCACTCTTATTAGAAAACTTTGTTCTAGGGGCCTGGCCAATCTCACCATGCATCCCAGGGAGCTATGAGATGAGACTCAAGTCAAAGTGAAGAGAAGAAGTAACCACTTTGGATAAAACCAAAAGAACCAATGTGGTAGCCCAATTGACCACTGGTGACATGGAGAGCCTTAAGGGGACTTGTCATCTCAACCCCTGTGGAGCAGTTTCGTGACACGGTACGTGAATGATTGAGACAGGACTGTGGGTCTCCTGACAGGTGCCCTGGGAGCAGACCTGGGCTGGAGCATCTCATAATTGCAATTCCTCTCACAGTGGTGAGTGAGTGCACATGCGAATGAATTAAAGTCTGCCAAGTATTTCAACACTCCTGAAACAAAATGGAATGGAAGTGTGAGCTTTTGTAGATGTGATTGTTACTGAGACTCTGCTTCTCTGCAGAGCCAGAGGATATTCTTGTTAAAATGCCCTGTGTTCTACCAACAAGACCAGAACATGTGTTGGGATATTGCCAGACACAGGCCTTTCTCCGCTGTGTGTGAGTGTGTGTGTGTGGTGCATGCATATGTGTGTGTACAGAAGGGTAAACATTAGATGCAGAAACAAGGGAGAATTTATCTGATTTGTAAAATATTTCAGAAATCGCCACTGGAACTTGCTTAATTGAGAAGTCTCCTTTCTTTGAGGAATAAACATGAAATTGTTTCATTTTTTTCCAGTAACTACTATGAGGACAATCTCTGTTCCACTTCCCACCCACTTCCTACCTTTCTGCTACCTGTTAAGTCTGTTTGGTTCTAGAACTTTTCAGTCTCCTGGTCGCCAGGCCACTTTTCAACTCCAATCTTACTTTTTTTTTTTCATTATTTCCCCTTTTGTTTCTCAGCATTGACTGGACTTAGGAGGTGGATCTGGCCTGTCTCTTACAACCCTGTACCCCACACTTTCCTGCTCCCTTTCTTTCCCCTGCTGTGTTGAGGTAAGAAGGACGAAGCAGAGAAGAAAGAGGACATTTCTTTTTCTTTTTAATAGATTTTATTTTATAGAGCAGTTTTGAGTCCACAGAAAAATTGAGCAGAAAGTTCTAAGAGTTCCCATATATTCCTGTCTTCATACACACACAGCCTCCCCCTCTAGCAACACAGTGGGACATTTGTTACAACCAGTAGCTCTGCACTGACACACCATTATCTCCAAGTCCATAGTATACATTAGGGTTCACCCTTGGTGTTGTCCATTCCATGGTTTGGATAAACATATGACATGTATCCACCATCACAGTGTCATAGGGGATAGTTTCCTTGCCCTAAAAATCCTCTGCTCTGTCCATTTATCCTTCCTCCTCCCTAATCCCTGGAACCGTGACCTTTTTACTGTCTCTATGGTTCTGCCTTTCCTGGAATTCCATATAGTTGGAATAATATAGTCATTAGAAATTGGTGCCTTTCACTGAGTAAGCTTCTTCCATTTCTTTTCATGGCCTGCTAGCTCACTTCTTCTGAGCATGAATAATATTCCATTGACTGGATGTACCCCTGTTTATTTATCCATTCACCTACTGAAGGACATGGTGGTTGCTTCCAGATTGGGCGATGAAGAACAAAGCTGGTAAAAACATGTGCAGGTGTTTGTGTGGCCATAAGTAGCAACTCATTTGGGTAGACATAAGGAGCATGGTTGCTGGACTTTATGGTAAGACTATGTTTAGTTTTGAGAGAAACTGCCAAACTGCCTGCCAGAGTGAAGTGAATTTTGCATTCCTACCAGCAGCGAGTGAGAGTTCTGGTTGCTCCACATCCTCTCCAGCATTTGGTAGTGTCAGGATTTTGGATGTTTGCCATTCTAATAGGTTTGTAGGACAGAGGGAGCTGGGGTCAGACCCTGTCGGGATGCGTAGGCCGTGGCAAGGGAACCGGTTTGTATTAGGAGTGGGACGGGGGGCTGTGAACTGAGAGGTGATATGCTCTGTCTTCTGCCTGAAAAGGGGCCTCAGGCTGCTGTGATAGAAATAGAGCTCAGGGAAGCAAGAGAAGCCATTTGCAGGGAGCTCATTGCATATAACCTGGGTGAGGCATGATGGTGGCTTGGGTCAGGGTCGTGGCACTGAGGCATTGGGTAGCGGCTGAACTCTGGAAATATTTTGAAAGGTCAGTTGCTGATCAGTAAAATGTGGGGTGTAATGAAAAGAGAGGAATTAAAGGTGACACCAAGGCTTTTTGCCTGAACAATTGAATGGATGGAATTGCCATTTGCTGAGATGGGAAGGATGGGGAGTTCAGTATCAGACTTATTAGTCTGACATGTTTATAGGTATCCAAGCAAAGCTGTTGAGTGGGAAATTGATCCTAGGCCCATGGAGCTCAGGGAAGAGGTAAGTCAGGGATACTGTAAATAGGAAGCAGATGTTTCCAAAGCAACATGTAAGTGCAGCCACAGGGTGAGTGCGACGGGCTGTGGAGGCACAAGTCAGGGCCACACACTGTGGTGCTGAGAAATGCCACTGGAGTCAGTTACCTTCCAGCTGTGACCTGAAGGTGAAGTGGGATGAGCCAGGGTGAAAACAGGGGCAGAAAATAGTTTAGGCAAAGGGAACAGCCTATGCAAAGGCCCTGCGGCAAGGGAGAGCATGTTGCCATTTTGGAACTAAAAGTAGATCAATCTCACTCAGAGAAGACAATGGGGACAGAGGGGGAGGGGAGAGGGGGGAGCACAGGAGTGAGGGGGTGGGGTAGAGATGCACAAGCAGAGCCCTGGACGCCACGCTTTGGAGTCCGGACTCTCTCATGTGAGCCCAGGGTATGTCGCTGAACATTCTGAACAGGGCGCCCGTGTGGTCAGACTTAACATGCTTCTCCTCTAGGGAGACCTTCCCCCGGGAGCAGTGAGCCAAGTCTTGTGGGCTCATCTCCCCTGGGCCTCCCCAGCCTGCCTCCTTGTCCATCCCCATTAGCTGCGTTCCAACTCTCGCCAGGCGTGTCACAGCGAAGTAGGTCAGGCCAGGCCCAGCAGTCCCCTAGGGACTTGGTTGTGATGGCCAGGCCCAGAGTCGGGGGTGGGGGAGTGATCTGCATGCACAGCCTGGCTCCTTGCAGGGACGGGGTGCACCGAGGGGAAAGGCAGCCTGGGGTGCTTCCCAGGGCAGCCTACACGCAGTGGCTTTCTCGTCCTTGCCAGCCATCCGTGTTCTTAAAAGGCCCCAGGCTTCGGCAGGTAAAATCGCTGAAATCTGAGGCTCCAGATAGGTGCTGACCAAGGTGATTTCATTCTGGACAGCTCTCTCTCTCTGAGTCATCAGATCATACCAAGGAATGGCATGTGGCATTTAAAGTGCTTGTGTATGTCGTTTTCAGAGAGATCCTTAGACCATTTCCTTGGGCTTTCAGGAGGAGGGTGAGTCTGGATGTGGCAGATTGAGAGCAATCGGCTGAGCCTCTGAAGACCGGAGCCCCTGTACTTGTCTGTCATTTACTATGTGGCCTGGGCATGTCAGTTGTCATATCGAAGCTTTCACTTCTTTACCATTAAGTTAACTAGTTAAATCTGACAACTTAGAAGAAGTGTACAACTTCCCTGAAGAATATCACATACCAAATTAGCAGAGGAAGAAATAGAAAAACCTTGTATCTATTTAAGAAATTGAATTCATAATTTAAAACCTCTCCTTGCCTCCCCTCCCCCACAACCACAGACACATTTTATCAAATATTTAAGGATAAAATAATGCTGAGACTACACAAACCCTTCCAGAAAATAAAGAAGAGAATTGTTAGGTCACAGGTTCGAATCCCCGTCAAGGCACATACCTGGGTTGTGGGTTCGATCCCCAGTCAGGTATGTGTGGGAGGCAACTGATTGATGTTTCTCTCTCACATCGATGATCCTCTCCCCCTCTCCTCTCCCCCTTGCTCTCCCCTCTCCCTTTCTCTCTCTCTAAAATCAATAAACATATCCTTGGATGAGAATTTTTTTTAAAAAGAATTGTTTCCAACTTGTATCATCAGGCCAATATAACTTAGATAAGAAAAGCAGATGAAAGAAAAGGGGGAAAAAAAGAAAAGAAATGCAGATGAGGACATTAAAAACAATTCTAGATGCAAAAGTTCTTAAAAATATTATCAAATAGAATTCAGCAGCACATACAGAGGAGGAGTTGCGATCAGAGCCATGGGCATAGGGCCTTCCACTCTCCCATATCAAGCCCTTGACAGACATCACCAGTGGATCCCTCTGATTTTCCCAGCTGAATCTTTCTCACCTTAGCTTTCCAGGAAGCCCCCACCCATCAGTGACATTTGGAGTGTCAGAAGAAATCTATTTGACACCATGGATCCTACCAATATAAGGCTGAGATGCTGTAATTCTGTTGAGCTATTAAATTTTGAGGTCATGTATGGCAAGCATTTCCTTCTGTGTAGCATGATTTACTCCAGGCTAGACATGGAAGAGCAAAGCTCAGTGTTTTGGGTGATTCACATGAAGGAAGAAGCCATAAATATTAAATGCCTATAGGGACCATAGCCTTGTAGGTTCTCGGCACTCCTGTATGATCAGCCCCCAAGGATGTTATTGGCGCACAATAACATCCAAGACTGTGTGTTAAATGAATGCATTTCGAAGGAAGCAGATAAGTGGTTCTGTCTTTATAGAGTTGTTATGGCTTCTGCCATTGAATCAAGGATAACCCATCACAAATGACGAAATCCAAAACCATTAGTTGGATGAATGAATGAATTCTGAAGGAGGCAGACAAGTAGTTCTGTCTTTGTAGAGGGGTATGGTTCCTGCCGTGTGGCAAAGGATAACCAGCAAGTGATGAGGCCAGGAATTGGGGTCCAAGCCAAAGGCTGCCGTGTAAAGGGTGAACATCTATAGTCTGATGATTCTTATATTACTAACTTCAACCTTGTCTCGCCTCTGAGTAGCAGACACATCTGTCCAGCTTCCTTCTTGATATGTCCACTGGATTGCTTCACAGATTTCTTGAGCTCAGATTCTATGATTGACTGTATATCTGACCCCCAGTGTTTCCATCTCAGTGAACCCCATACCGCCCATCCAGTTATGCAGGCCAGAGATTTGGAAGGCAGTCTGAATACCACTCCCTTCTTCACGTCCCACATCCTCATTAGTTCTCAAATATATCCGCTTTTCTCTGTCTCCCCTACCACCACCCTGGTCTGAGCTCCCCTCACATTTTCTATGTGGAAACAGATAAGTGGAAGAAACTGCAAAGCCCAAACATAGAGTCAGTGCCATACACGAGCTAAGAAAAGAGGTGTCATGATATGGTCCACTGACCAAATCTGGCCCTCTGCCTGTTTGTATAAATAAAGTTTTATTAGAACACAGCCACACTCATTTGCTTATGTGTTGTCTATGGCTGCTTTTGCATTCAAGGACAGAGGTGAGTGTTGCAATAGAGAACATATGGCCTACAAAGCCTAAAATATTGACTATCTGCCTCTTCACAGAAAAAAGTTTGCTGACTCTTATTAAAAGCATGAATCTGAGTCTCAGCTCCAACACGTACTAGCTGTGTCAGCTCAAGAAAGCCATATCACCCCTCAGAGCCTTAGTTTTCTCATCAACCAAATGGACAGAGTAATAGCATCTGCCTCTTGCTGTTGAAGGATTTAATGCACTCAATGCTTTGCACATTGCCTGCCACTAGAATATGCCTAATAAATGATGGCTATTATTAATAAGTTAGTACTATGAACAATGAATATCAGTAATAACACAAAGCCTTCTTTTGTGCCTTGGACAGACGTAGATACTTCCCTGGGGCCTGGCAGTAAGTTTTCTTCCTTCATCACAGACGCGGTGGCAGCCCATAAGGAAACGTGTTTATCTTGAAAGCACCCGGCAGAGACGGCAAGGAAGGGGCTGAGCTGGTGGGAAGACCCCATTTCTCAAACCCAGCTTTCTGTGCGGAATTATTCAAAGGGAAACCTTATCAAGCAGCCTTCCAGCTTGGTGTCATCCATCTTCCAAAGGTAATTCAATAGCCCTTGGTAGCTGATGATTTATGGAGCCGCTGTCCGCGGGGAGGTTGCTCTTTGTATTACAGCTTGTTTTTATCAATGACCAGCAACCCGCTGGCTGGGGCCAGAAGCAACAGGCTCTGTGTCTAATCCTGTTCCCCGAGGCTGCAGTCAGCTCCAGGCCAGCAGAGGGCCGCTGGCCGCTGGGCAGATAAAGGAATCAGATCATTCGGAGCTGAGAGCTTCAGTTGTTAAGTAGGACTGCTATGTCTCCTCTACAAAGCTGCTTTAAGCCTCCAAACCTCATGTGATCAATGCCACCGTTCCCGTGAGGGGAGAGACTGTCGTTGCTGCTTTACAGATGAGATGCTGAAGCTGGGAGGGGGTACTGGTCTGGTGCCTGATTAGGAATGCACGGCAAGGGCCCCTGTCTTAACAGGACGTGTGTGTGCCTTGTGAGGAGGCCTAGCGTGTGGGCCGTGTATGAGGGCTTGGCTTTTTCTCGCTGCTGCCTTATTCCGGTCATGTCAGGACAATCTTCATGGGGGATAGGACCTTGCTCTCTCATCTGTCATTTCATTCATAGTACCAGGCCTGGCATGTGACAGGTGTTTCATAAAGAATGAGTGAATGGTGCCTGGGCCTTTGCATATGTTTTTTCCTCTCCCTGAAACACGTTTCCTGTCCTCTTTGTCTGGTTAACTTCCACTTGTCCTTAAGGCCACAGCTGAGATGTCATCTTGTGTCAGTCAGTGTCTAATCAGGAAAATAGAAATCATATCAGTTAATTTAATCAAGAGAATTTGATAGGGATCTGGTTAAGCCCTTATTGGAAGTCGGGTCAGGTGAAAAGGGAACACACTGAGGTCACAGAGATAGTAACTACAGTGGGTTAGTTATTCATCGCTGCGTAACAAGTTACCCCACCACTTTGTAGCTTAAAACACCTACTCATTATCTCAGGAACCTGGGCATGGCTTAGCTGGGTCTTCTGCCTCAGGGTCTCTTATAAGGCAACAGTCAGGTGGCAGCTGAGGCTGGGGTCTCACCTGAAGGCTCAGCCAGAGGAGGATCTGCTTCTGAGCTCACTCAAGTGGTTATTGGCTGGATTCAATTCCTTGTGAGTGGTCGGACTGAAGCCGTCAGTTTATTACTGTCTGTTGGCTGGAGGCCTCCTCAGCTCCTGGCCACCTTGGCCTCTCCATAGGGCAACTTACAACATGGCCGCTGATTGATCAGAGCGAGCAAGCAAGACAACACCCATGAAGGAGGCCACAGTCATCGTTTAATCTCTAGAGGGACATCCCATCACCTCTGCTGTTTCCCAGTAGAAGTGAGTCCATAAGTCCTCTTGCACTCAAGGGGAGGGGGTCACACAGGGCATACAGATCAGGGGCTATGTCAGAGGCTGCCCCTCTCAGGCAGAAAGACTCAGTACCTACAGGGATGGAGGACAAAGGGAAGAGGTTGGGACTTTAGAATCTACTAGTAGATGTTTGGAGGAAGGTCCCCATGGGGCTGAGACGGGCTCTGAGGGGGTGGCCCTGACCAGTTGATACGAGTGACTCTGGTGGGCCCTACAGAGGCTGTTTGTAGGAATGTAAGGAAAACAACACTTTGAAGCTGGAGCTAGCTAGTGTTTCTGGAACCAACTGGCACTGCCTGGAGTTGGGGGGGAGCCATTGACACAGATAGGAGCAGGATGCAAAGTGGAAGGAACAGTCCCTCTGCCCCTGGGATGAGTTGAATTCCCTCCCCCCTGAAACTCCTATGGTGAAGCCCTAGCCACCAGTACCTCAGAATGGGACCTTATTTGGAAATAGGGTCGTTGCAGGTGTAATTCGTTAAGGAGAGCCCCTACTCCTACATGATGGTTCTATTATAAAAAGGGGACACAGTCCACGAGAACATGAAGCAGAGATCAGAGTGATGGATCTGCCAGCCAAGGGACACCAGAGATGGCACAGCACCCAGAGCCAGGGAGGCCTGCAGCTGAGTCCGTCTCAGCCTCAGAAGGAGCCAGCCCTGCTGACACTTGGATCTGGGACATCTCGGCTCCAGAACTGTGAGCAAAGAGCTTTATGTCGTTTAGGCCGCCCAGAGTGGCACTTCCTTAGAGCAGTGCTCGCAAACAAATGCAGCTCCTCCAGCTCTGTAGTCTCCTCCGGCATCACCCGTCTTTCAGAACCTGCAGGCATGCGTCCGGCAAAGTGGGCATAGTCACAGCCCCTCGTCACCACAGGGGCGATGGAAGGGTGGGTGTGAGACTGGGCGTGAGAGGGTACTGGCCAGCATGCACCTCTTCCGGGAAAGCCTGCAGGGACTCCGCCTGTCTCCTGTGTGTCCCCTCAGCCCTCTGTACTGCCTTCTGTCATAGCCCTTACTACCCTCTTGAACTAACTGATTGTTGGTCTGTATCTTGTCCTAGACTGTTAATTTCATGAGGGCAGGTACTCTGTCCTGTGTTCTCAGTTGTATCATCTATACTAATACAGACGATTATAAGTACAACTAGAGGCCCGGTGCACAAAAATTTGTGCACTCGGGGGGGAGGAGGGGGTCCCTCAGCCCAGCCTGTGCCCTCTCGCAGTCTGGGACCCCTCGGGAGATAACGACCTGCTGGCTTAGGCCTGCTCCCGGGTGGCAGAGGGCAGGCCCAATCCCTAGGTGCAGCCCCTGGTCAGGCTCAGAGCAGGGCCGATTGGGGAGTTGGGGCGCCACCCCCTGTCATGCACAGAGCAGGGCAGATCGGGAGGTTGCGATGCCACCCTCAGTCACGCTCAGGGTAGGGCCGATTGGGGGGTTGGGGCACCGCCCCCTGTCACACACAGAGCAGGGCGGATCAGGGGGTTGGGGCGCTGCACCCTGTCACAC